AGAGAGACAGAAAGAGAGGAAAGAGAGAGAAAGTTAGAGGAAAGAGAGAAAGAGGAAAGAGAAAGAGAAGAGAAAGAGAGAGACAGGAAAGAGAGACCCTTTTGACATCTAAAATGAAGATAACACTGCATATATCCTTTTTTACCTTTATTTTATATATACACACACAAACATACACACACACACACACACACACACATACCTATAATAAAGGTAAAAAAAGGATATATGCAGTGTTATCTTCATTTTAGATATCAAAAGGGTTTTGCGGCTCCCAGTGTTTTGTTTTCGGTGGGAAACGTGTCCAAGTGGCTCTTTGAGTGTTTTGGGTTGCCTACCCCTGGGCCAGCAAATGGCCCTTGCCTACTTCACATATCCAGCTTGATGGGCTCCAGGGGAGGGGTTTCGGCAGGCAGTGGGACGCTCTCCTCACAGTGCTGAGAGGCTGAGCCGGGCAGCGCGAATCCCAAAAGAAGCACGAGGTCACCCAGCTCCCAGCCTGCCCAGTTTCGGAAGGCAGCGGGGCGCTCTCCTCACAGCGCCAAGAGCTGAGCTGGGTGGTGCGAATCTGATGAGAAGTGCAATGCTGCCTAGCCCCCAGCCTGCTCAGTTTCAGCAGGCAGCAAGGTGCAAAGCTCAACCTTTTGGTGATGTGAGGACAGCGCCCCGCTGCCTGCCAAAACCAGGCAGGCTGGGGGCTGGGCGGCATTGCACTTCTTTTCAGATTCGCACCACCTGGCTCAGCCTCTTGGCGCTGGAGGAGAGTGCCTCGCTGCCTGCCGAAACCGGGCAGGCTGGGGGCTGGGTAGCATCGTGCTTCTTTTTGGATTTGCACCGCCCTGTTCAGCCTCTTGGTGCTGTGAGGAAAGCGCCTGCTGCCTGCTGAAACTGGGCAGGCTGGGGACTGGGCGGTGTTGCGCTTCTTTTCAGATTTGCGCCACCTGGCTCAGCCTCTCAGCGCTGTGAGGAGAACACCTCGCTGCCTGCCGAAATTGGGCAGGCTGGGGCCTGGGCGGCATTGCGCAGATAACATTGATTCTCACGCTGCTCAAGGCATCTCATCCCCCAGAGCCCACCAAGCCAGATATGTGAAGTAGGTGAGAGCCATGTGCTGGCCACTTCCAGGCAATGGTGCATTTCTTCATTCCTCACGAAGGGTGACACCTCCCCAGCTGCGTTTCTTGCCTGTTTTTCTCCCTCCCTCATCTCAAATATTTTCCCACCACTCTGTACAAGGAAGGAAGGAAGGAAGGAAGGAAGGAAGGAAGGAAGGAAGGAAGGAAGGAAGGAAGGAAGGAAGGAAGGAAGGAAGGAGAGGGAGGATCTGAGGGAAGTCCTACCTTAGTCCTGCCCTGTTGCCCTTTCACCATCCCCTTGCCTCCTCCTGGCCTATCCTTGGGGTCTCCCATCCTATTGCTAAGGAAGCTTTGGATACAAAGCTGGGTCTCCTCCCATGGAGAGGGAATGGGCCTCCTTCTGGTTTTGCCCTCGTACCCATCATGAGCAACCTGCTAAGAAGAGCAAGAACAACAACAGCAGCCTTGAGGAGGAGGTAAGTGCAGCTGGGTGCCCTCTTGGGGAAGTAGGGCTAGGCTTGGTGCCGCGGGTGCTCGAAAGCCAGGCTGGGCATTTGACTTCTGGTGCCCAGGGTTCCAGGCAGCCCGCACCACCATCCAGCCCCCCCTGCATGGCCTGAGAGGAACAGGGAGGCTCCTCCAGTGGACCATGCCTTGGCACTTGCCCTGGTCCCACCCCCTTCTGCCAGAGATCCTCAGATCTGTCCCATTCCTGGCCAGGCCCCCACAGGCACCCTTGATGCGAATGATGTAAAGCTGGCCACGCCCACCCAGTAGGCCACACCCACTCCATCCATGCCCACCCAGTAGGCCGCACTCACCCTGGCCACATCCACCCAGCCCCCCGAGGGAAACCACAATGCTAATGCGGCCCTCAATGAAATTGAGTTTGACACCCCTGACCTAGAACATCTTTCTCAGACTTAACAGCACAGAACAATGAACCTCCCTCAACCCCTTTTTCCCCCTGAAGATTCTAAAACAAGCTGACCTACAAGAAATAGAAGAAGCCTGCACCACTAGAGAACATTTAGAACAGCCTTCTTTGACTTTTCTGGGCCCTGGAAAAATCTGTAGGGTCGCTACATCATCAAACATGCCCTTTATTAAATACCAAACATTTAAATCATGTCACAATCAAAGTGTCTTTTAGCAGAAAAGTGCTGTAGAAAATATTTCCTAGCAAGTATCAGCAACCAGTTGTACATAGTTGTGTATGGTTATCTGAATGATAGATCCCACTTTCAGGGACTTCTGAAAGTACATACTTCTCTATGGAATGTCCTTTCTCTGCTGTTAGGAAATTATATACAGGAGTTATTGTGAAGTTCCATTTTCTAAAGTGGGGATGGGACATCCAGCTCACTCAGGCACTAACTTAATGGAGAACATGAGAAAAAATGTATTGGGCCCCTTTCGGTATCAGCAACCAGTTGTACATAGTTGTCTATATTCTTTCTCTATCCACATATGTCAAATGTTCTTTCTTTAAGGCAGGGGTCTTCAACCTTGGCAACTTTAACTTGTGGACTTCAACTCCCAGAATTCCTCAGCCAGCTTTGCAAAGGTGGCTGAGGAATTCTGGGAGTTGAAGTCCACAAGTCTTAAAGTTGCCAAGATTGAGGACCCCTGCTTTAAGGTCTCCTTCTTACTTATTCTAAAACTGGGAGGGAGCTATCTCTTCCGACAGGAGGTCACCTGAAAAAGTTCTAGCCCTACCACCAGAGCTTCTGGGTAGGAGATACCTTCAATGGGATGTCATATTTCCATGGTAGAAAATTAATCTTCACAATAAGGGTGTTGAGTTTTCAAGCTGAATACAGAAGAACTTGAGTCTTCTAATTCTCAAACAACATTCATCCCAACCTCCTTTAGAGACCCAGCTAAGTTGTGTTTATAATCTATTTTTTAGGGTAAAACATGAACATTTTAAAAAAAAAGCAAAGTGTTTTTTAAAAGTTCTACCAGTGAGCTTGATAGAAAAACACATCTACATTACTTTGGAATAAATGGAGCTAAGAGTCTGTAGACCAAGAGCTCATCATTGATTTTCACTTCGTTGTGCCCCTTGATTAACCTGCTAATCTTATGAATAGCCTGTTTCAAAATAATGAGAAAGCACTGTCTTTCTACGTGCATTTTGGAACACTCAGTTCAAAAGAACAAAGGTATCATTAGAAAAATTGTTCATGTGTTATGCTTTTCCCCCTCAGCAAGATATTTCCCATATCAAAGTTCAGTGAGTAGATGGAACATCCTCCTCAGTTTGCCCTCATAGCCTTTCTAAAAATATCATAATCCCTAGCAAGACACTATTTTAAGGGATTCATATTTAAAGGGTATATCCATGGGAGGCTTATTTTTGGCATGTGTGCATGTGTCAGTTTCAGATGGCTTGCATAGCTAGTACTGTGTACATTTTTATTCAGAGCTACTTCACACACAGTCTAAGGGGAGCACTTCTGGATTGAGGACCACAAGCTTCTATGTGAAGTTTAAAGATGTAGGGTAGAGGAAAATGTTGTTTTAGGAACAGTAGTGCGTGCCTGAAATAATTCCTTTCAGAAATCTGTATACTATTTTCTCAGCTTATTAGATCTTATTTTATAAAACCTGGCTGAGATTTTTCTCTGGAGACCTTAATGATCTTGCCACTTTCAATAAACATTCATAGAAATTCTGGCAGCTTGTGGAGAAGGGAAACTCATTTAAAAGACTTTTATCTTCACAAAATACTAAAAAGAAAAGAAAGAAATGAAAAAATCTTCACCAGAAGACTAAAAGAAGCTGTCAAGATGTGAAATTCAATCAATAAATGCAATTGAATTATAACACAAAATGGTTGCGTTACAGATATGCTGCCCGGACATTTGGTTCTTTCATTCTGAAAAAAAGAGAGAGAAATAACTAGATTTAGAATGTGAATTCAGGACCAATGGGTGAAAAAACAAAGACTTTTTAAAAAGAAAGATGGAAATTAAGGTGGTATCTTCCAATCAACGTGTACTTCATTTTGGAACAGAGTTACATAGCACTCATGTCTACACCTCTAAGAAATTTCCATTTTTTCACATAAAAAAATCCAGATATGAAGCCGAAGCTGCCTTCTTCGCCAATCTGAAGCTGTCAGACTTCAACATCATTGACACTCTCGGAGTTGGAGGTTTTGGCAGAGTTGAACTGGTAAGTAACATTTCTTTATTTCTAAGCATGCAGAATCTGTTGTTTTTTGCTTTTGGGGGGGGGGGGTTACCTCACTTGAGGTAAATACTCTATCCCATTACAGAGGGAAAGTTAAATATTATAAAGAGAGGTTAATAAAGTTATCAGCCACTGCAGACCTTTATATTTAACTTTATTGAACAGTAGTACTTAAAAATGAAATTGAAAAAGTCCTGTGACTGGTATACAATTTCTAGTATGCTTTTATTCATACTAAAACTAGATGAGACATGGCTCAAGAAGTATATTAAAACAAGGATTCCCATGGGTTATGATAGAATTTAAGAGGATGTCTGATTAGATAAACAGATGATAGGTGGATGATAGATAGATAGATAGATAGATAGATAGATAGATAGATAGATAGATAGATAGATAGATAGATAGATAGATAGATAGATAGATTTTAATGCTATTTGCTTTGTTCTTGATCTTTACAACTAAATTCAATTTAGTTTAGTTTAGTTTAGCATTTACAATTTGCAAAGGAACTGTGAAATAAATGACAATATTTTAGTGAACTGTTACTTTTAAATTATCATTTCAGTTTTGCATATTTCTGTATTTTATCTATTTACCTAGCAGATGTAAAGATATAGATTTCGCTAAATGTACTGAATACAAGCTATAGAGGTAATGTCAATAAATTTATGTTGAGGTATAAGCACTTAGCTGTAGCCAAAAGCAGAGAAGGAAAATATCAACAACAATTGACAATCAAAATGTAGTTTTCTTGCTAAATCAAACCCTTTGGCAATATAAATATATGTTAAGAGAATGTGAAATGTAGCCGAGTAACTGTTTGTACAATTATGTAAACCCATATTAGTGGGTAGCCAAAAGCAGGTGGATGATAGGTAGTTAGGTAGCTGGGTAGGTAGGTAGGTAGGTAGGTAGGTAGGTAGATAGATAGATAGATAGATAGATAGATAGATAGATAGATAGATAGATAGATAGATAGATAGATAGATAGATAGATAGATATTTTAATGCTATTTGCTTTGTTCTTGATCTTTACAACTAAATTCAATTTAATTTAGTTTAGTTTAGCATTTACAATTTGCAAAGGAATTGTGAAATAAATGACAATATTTTAGTGAACTGTTACTTTTAAATTATCATTTCAGTTTTGCATATACTGTTTTAAAGCTATTTATTGTATTTTATCTATTTACCTAGCAGATGTCAAGATATAAATTTTGCTAAATATACTGAATACAAGCTATAGAGATAATGTCAATAAATTTATGTTGAGCTATATGCACTTAGCTGTAGCCAAAAGCAGAGAAGGAAAATATCAACAACAATCGACAATCAAAATGTAGTTTTCTTGCTAAATCAAATGCTTTGGCAATATAAATATATGTTAAGAGAATGTGAAATGTAGCTGAGTAACTGTTTGTACAATTATGTAAACCCATATTAGTGAAGAGGACTCCTGGAATATGACACCAGTCAGACTTAAGGAAACCCTATTAAGTAAAGGGATATCCTTTCCATAAAAATAGCGCAAGTAAGCATGCCTAGCATTAACCAATTCAACAAGTGAGATAATTGTAAACATATCATTTATAAACATGTAGTAATGTCATTTAAGTTCAGATGTGTTTCTTGAAATTAAACTCAGCACTGATTCTGCTCAAAGTACAAGTTGAAAGCAAAACAGAAAGACCATAAACATAATAGGGAGGGGGAAGCACACATCACAGCTAACTGATATACTCTAATACCATCTGCATGGACATGCCCCAGCCTATCACAGAGCTGTTGAAAGTGCCATGTTTTCAAGGCTCATGTAAAGGATGTGTTGGGCAGTTCAAATGTCTGGGGAGATGCTGCTCCAGAGGACAAACATCTCAAGTCTTTTTTCATTAAACCCAAAAGAAAAGTTTCTGGTTTTATCGTTATATTCACTTTGAGAATTTTCTGTATGAAGATGTGAATTCTATTCCAATATTTTTTGCTTTGTCACATATACATCATAATTGATAAAAGGTCCCCTTTTTACATTTGCATTTCCAACATTCATTTGAAATACCTTAATACATTTTTGACAACTTATCTGGTGTTAAATACCAATGATACATCATCTTATAGAAGTTTTCTTTTTGATTATAATTTAGTGTAAATTTTAAACCTTTCGTCCACATATTCTCCCATTGTTCAAGCATTACATTATATCCAGAGTTCTTTGCCTACTGAATCATACACATTCATTTTCCAAATTCAAATTCAATAATAATTTATAGACCTTAGCAATAATATGTTCATCACTACTGTGCAGTAGGATTTCCAATTCATGTTTCACAAAGTCAAGTCCATAACTTTTTGTCTGATTTAAATCTTTCATTCAATTGTAAATATGTAAACCAATGGCAGACATGCCCTTCTGATTCTAACTCTTTTTTAGATTTGAGGATAGGATCACTAAAATTAAAAGATCCAAGCCACACATAACTCAAAATTTCACCTACTCATGTGCCTGCCACCAATTTTTAATTTTAAATAGATAGATAGATAGATAGATAGATAGATAGATAGATAGATAGATAGATAGATAGATAGATAGATGGATGGATGGATGGATGGACGGACGGACGGACGGACGGACGGACGGACGGACGGACGGACGGACGGATGGATGGACAGACGGACGGATGGACGGATGGACAGACAGACAATCACACCCCCCCCCCAAATTCTTCAATGCACTTACTGAAAAGAGAGTGAGTTTACCATACTGTCCACATACTTTACTTCTGGCAGAAAATATCTAGAGCTAGGCTATAATTTTATAATACTCAATTCTATAAACACCTTTTGAAATGGGTTGGACCTTTAAAAAAAATATGATGCGGTACTTTTTTTTTACAACCCTGTAATCCTTTAATACAGGGTAGAATCAGGGCGATTGAATAGTACTAAGCCTATGTCAACTTCGCAGCAGACATTTTCACTTTCCATCCTGAGAGAGAAACATCTGCTGCTACCTAGGATTGAACTCTCAGCCTTTTGAATGGTAGACAAGCATCTTCACCATTAAGCCACCATGCTACTCCAATAGGATGCAGCACTAACTATTCAAAAGTATGCAGTCATACAGCTTTATCATGTAATAAATAGCATTATTTCCAATTCTGACCAAAAACAAAAATTAAACCTATCAGATGAATTCACAGGCATAGCACATAGCTGCAAAGGATTGGCTGATATGGATAAAGGATGATTACTAGGGAGAAGGTTGACAGGAGATGTAAGGGCTGAATAGTAAAAGATCAGGAAGTATAGCAAATGGAATTGTCATTTTTATTTCCTTATCAGCAATAACAGTCATCACTAATGGAATCACAATCATGTGACTAGGAATAATCAAAACGTGCTCCTGATCCATCTGTCCCTTCCTGTTAGATCCTCATAGTAGAACAATAGCTAACAACAACAACAAGGGAAGGGACCTTGGAGGTCATCTAGTCCAACCCCCTGCTCAGGCAGGAAACCCTATACCATTTCAGACAAATGGCTGCCCAGTCTTTTCTTTAAAACTTCCAGTGTTGGAGCATTCACACCTTAAAAATGTGTCTCTTGGCTCAATGACAGAAGTTGGAGGCTGCATTCCTGGAAATGGCCAGACCTGTAAGGACCCACCCCACTTTGCATCTTAAGAAGACAGAACTCTTGGAATATTTCTTCCAACAGGCATCTTTATTAAGAGAGAGCTGGTTGCAGGCATTCTCCTCTCCTAGGGAGCTGAGAGTTCTCTTCATTAGGTCGATCGCTTTCTCTAGGATCCAGCCCGAGTACGGTGCCCAGCTCCCTTCCTCTTCACTTGCATGCAGGGATTTCTCCATCTCCTGCTTCCATTCTGGTTGTTTGCCCCCCCCCCCGTCTCAGGGTCACCTTTCTTGATTTCTTTTCCCACTTGCCTTTCTTTCCAACGTCCATTGACCATTGAGGTTTGTGGTCCAGTGTCTCCACCACCTCTTCTCCTGAGGACTCTGACCTCTCAGATCCCGACATCTGGCAGGGTTTCAGCCGGGGCAGCGGCTCCCTTTCCGGGGAGTTTTCTCCCTTCTTTGCTCCACCGTCTGACATGGTAATTTTTGCAAAGTCCCCCGGCAAGGGTCTTCCTTCCAGGTGGACTAATTTTGCAAGTCCTGTCTAATGTAAGGACCCACCCCACTTTGCATCTTAAGAAGACAGAACTCTTGGAATATTTCTTCCAACCAGCTCTCTCTTAATAAAGATGCCTGTTGGAAGAAATATTCCAAGAGTTCTGTCTTCTTAAGATGCAAAGTGGGGTGGGTCCTTACAAGACCATTTAGGTTAGTTGTACTCAACCTCAGGAATTTTAAGATGTGTGGCTGGGGAATTCTGGGAATTGAAATGCACCCACCTTAAACTTCTGAGGCTGAAAAACACTAGCTTAACTCCCTGTTTTATTAATATATATGGGCCAAAAGAGAAATATAAAATGCCTGATTTAACATGTTTGTCTATTGTTTGTGAACAGATTATATGGAGACCGTGATGTATAAGAAATGGAATATAATTTATTTATTTCAGCAAGAAAATATAATTATGTGGCACTAGCTATTCAAATATATGCAGCCAGAAAGAGCATTATTTCTATTTTTGAGTGAAAACAAACATTTTTGCCAAATTGGGTGATATGCTTTGGACCTATGCTATAGGCAAAAGTGAAACCTCCATTCTATACATCACTACAAACTATATAGTTTTCCTGTATAGTCTAATTCCATAAAATTATCATTTGTAATATTTACTTTTTGAATAGCAGTAAGTAATTGCCAGTGATATGTTGATATATTCACAGTATATTTGAATTTTTACAGTTTTAATATTGCCTCTGCCTAACAAGGAGGCAGGACTTAACCAATCTTAATTGATCTCACAAAGTTAAACCAAATCAGAACTGGTTTGTATTTTGTATTTTTATGGGA